TCCCACAATTAAAATTTAATAAGGTGAAGAATTGATATGAGTTCACTTACCACGATCTATCCCGAATTCTCACAGGACTGAAATTCTCGGGGTCACTTGAGATGATTGATTTTTGTGCAGCCAGATGATGAGGATACATCCATGATCACTGCTTCTCATTTTCAACATTCATTCCAAAGGGTTCCCAAATCACTTGGCCTCCTCAACTGAAGGGCCAACCAGGGATGATTTCCCATTGTCTTATATAGTTTTAGACAATTTCTTTGACCTTCCCTCATTTAATCTTCTATTGCACTAAGACTCTCAGATCATGCACCTGTTGGTTCTGAGACTTGTTTTGTTCAACCAATGCCTGCAAACTAAGTGAGGCTTTGGATCTCTCTCCTTCAGGTATATACTGGTTTAGAATATGTGAATACTTGACAGCAATTTGGAGCTCATGTTCATTTAAATCACAAGAGATCATAGCTCTCCATTCTGATTCTCCTTCCAAGCATATCCCATGAAGCAGAGCAGCAAAAGAAACAGAATCTGGAAGAAAACCCTTGCTCACCATCCTATCCCGTAACTCGAAAGCAGTTTGAAGCATCCGATGTCGGCATAGACAGAGAAGGATACAGTTGTAGGCAGCAGGTTTTTGAGCCCATCCATCAGATATCATCCTTTCAAAAAATTCCAGAAACATAGGTTTCTTTTCCTGTTGAGAGTCATTTGCTTCATTAGAAATTAAACTTGGTGCTTTATTTGAAAATCCGTTAACCAAATAATTGAAAGTAACATCATTTGGAATGCACTTCGCCATCAGCATTAGTTCAAAAAATAAGGCAGCTTTTCTGAGATTACCATCCTTACAGAAGCTGCCTATAAGTATACTGTACGTGATTACATTAGGCACCAAACCACATGAGTGCATCTCTTTAAAGGTTTTCTCAGCCATGGTTAGATCTCCTTTGCTGCAAAATCCATTAATAAGAGAGGTGTAGGTGACAACATTTGGTTTGCATTTCTGTTTCACCATCTGCCTAAACATCCTCAATGCACTAGTCATGTCATGCTGCTTTACATATCCATGTATAATTGTGGAATAAGTGAACTCATCTGGTACAGATTGTCCTTTTATCAATCTATTCATACAAGATAGAGCATCCTCCATCATTCCAAATTTGCAATAACCTTTAATCATGGCATTGAATCCCACCACACCAGGATCCACATCCTTTTCTATTGTCAGTTTAAAGAGTTCTATTGCCTCAGTAATATTACCATTCCTAACAAACCCATCTACAAGAGTGGCACAAACAAATGCATCTGGCTGCAATTTTTGGTCAAGCATCTCCGCGAAGAGGAGTTTGGCAACAGGTATCCTTCCTTTCTTACAAAGCCCATTCATCAAAACATTATAAATAGCAACATCAGGCATTACTCCTCTTTCCACCATCTTATCGCGAACGGTCAATGCAGCATCCACCTCTCCTGAAGTAACAAGCCCATGAATAAGAGATCCATAAGTGACTAAATCAGGCTTCTGTCCTCTTTCGGTCATCTCAATTAGCAAACTGGAAGCTCTACTGTAATTCCCTCTCCTGCAATAGGCATGTATAAGAGGAGTATAACTAAATCTATTTGGCGTTAGTCCCCTCTTAATTGCATGTTCTAAGAGTTGATCTGCTTTTTCAACTTTCCCATCCTTACATGAACTATTAATCAAGGTATTATAGGTAGTAATATCAAGCTCAATATCATTCTTAATCATCCATCTGACAGTTTCTCCCATTTTAACCTTAAAACCATGCTTATACTGAGCATCTATAATATTGTTACATACTTGAACATTAACTTTTAAGCCCCTTTCTTTCATTTCCATTAAAAGTCCATTAACTGCCTTGAAATTCCCTTTCTTGCAAAACCCATTTATCATTGTTCCATATGTCTCCAGGGAAGCTAAAAAACCCTTCATTTTCAACTCCTTAAAAAGCAAATTGGCACTTCCAACATCACCTTTCTTGCAGTAGCCATGGATGAGTGTATTATAAAACACGATGTTTGGAACACAACCTTTTCCCCAACTCTCCTCCATGAGCTTTCTACCCTCCTCAACCTTCCCTTCATTACACAAACCCCTCACTATTATACAAGTACTATAGTTATCCACACAGCCATCTCGCTCAACCATTTCATTATACACCTGGCGTGCAACTTCAGTTCTCTTTGCTTTCGCAAGCACATCAAGCAAGGAGTTACAAGCAAACACATTAGGCACACAATTATATAATTCAACCACAAAATAGTACAACTCGATAGCCTTATCAACCAACCCAGAATCTGCACATGCTCGGATTACGGCACTTAATGCCTCATGCGTAGGCTTTATATCTTCTGTCTTAATATTCTCCAGAACATTTTCAAAATAATCAGAAGCTCTAAATCTCGCCAAAAGCTTCAAAAACGAAGAATAAGCATACCCATTTGACGGAAAACGCCGTGGCTGCTGTTTAAAAAGCCAGTCAAAGAACTTGAGGCCCAGCTGCAAGTCATGAAGTCGATCAAAAACATGATGGGAAATCTCTGAAACGCAGGTTTCTTCGTCAGCATAAAGAGCATCGATGGACTCTTGCCATTGCTGGTGAGTTTTAAGGATGTGGATAGTTTCATTAACGAGTTTCTTGGTCCGTGGCGAGACAAGATATGGTGAAGTTGAACCGAGTTTGGAGTTGTGAAGGGGTTTAATGCGAGAGAGAAGGGTTTTAGACATGAGACACACGATGACTGGGATTGGGGCTTCTTGAAGTCAACATTCGCATGGTCGTTTCAACTTTGTAAGATATTGGATGAAGGGTGATTCTTCAGTCAAATTGCAGAACCCATTGCCGTTTATTTTTTTTCTGGGCGAAACTGAAAAACAAAAACTAGACGGTATTTGCAATTTTCTTCTCACTTAGCTTTTTAGGATATGAATTGTGATTTTTACCATGGATGAACTGGTAATTATTATTTACTACAATGTAATACATATATTTTATTTTGTTCGGTTAAAAAATTATATTTTTTATTATTATTATGTGTGTGAGATTTAATTAATAAAATATATATTTTTTATTTAAAAAATTTATTTATAATACAAATTAGTAATTATGTGTTAGTATACAGCATATATTTAATGTTGATCATCCTGGAAAACTACTAAGACTTCAATAAGTATGTATACTGGGGCAAAATTATAAACAAAAAAACTGTACATAGAACTATATATTCCAATCAGTATATAATTTTCCAGAGGTCCTCTCAGTTTATAAGCTTCAACAACTAATCAGGAAAAAGAAAAAACACATCATCACTCTACAACAAATCCAGGATTTGATCCAAAATCAAAAGCTAAGGCTAAACAAAACTGTGTTTTCTCCTTGAAACAACATGATCTCCTTTATTACCCAAAAAAAAAAAAGAATCATTAATATGTTGAACAAATTGAATCAATTGTAACACAGAAAAGTGTGACCTATAATTTGTGGTCTTGTATGATCGTATGATCTCCGATTATCCTTCGTTGATTCCATCATAACAGCAATCCCAATTCCTTCCAGGATCTTTAAACAGAGAGTCTGGTCCGGAAGCCATTCTCATATTTTTGACCTCTGAAACCTCCCATTGCCCAAATGAGAAGACCGACTAACCTTTGCCGATTCAAAATCTTGGAATATACATCCCTTATTCAGGCACCTAAACTACACTCGTGGTTCATCTATTCACATGTTTGAACCACTTTCTATGGTGCTGCCGACAATTAGACAGTGCTCCGGAAGTCTATCTATTCACACTAGTTCATCTACTTTCTAGAGCAGCATTATTCAGTTTCAAAAATTGTTCGGTACAAAATGATCTAGAGCCCCACCTTGCAGCCCGTCAGCACTCAGTTCTAGCTTAGAAAAATTGCTACAGCAGATCCTGCTATCTGCTAATATTCCCTTGTTTACAGTGCCATCGAAGGGGCTGTTTTGTTGGAGCAATTCCATCAGTTGAGGTAGTTCTGCTTGACAGTCAAAACTTTCATACTGCAGATAGAAACAGGAACACAAGTTATAAAGTTTCGTTGTTCTATTCTTACTTCTGCACAAGATTATTCATGACAAAACAAGAATTTCCAAACAAGCATCGCCAACAAAATATATACCGCATTTCAGGAGTTATTATAAGATGGTGAAATGATTGCTTGTATACCAGGAAATTTACATTCATAAAAGATTAGCATAAAAATATCAGTACCGTACTTTATCATGAAGAATGTGCTCCCATCTTTTAGAAAAAACAGCTTTTGGCCAGTTCAACAAGAATTAGCATAAAATATCAGTCAAGCATGCAAGTATAGATTACATGCAAACTTAATAAATATCACACACAACCACATGAATTTACTGGACAAGTTTTTCTTATTTCATTCAAGATTTTAAGAGGGGTATGCTAACACCACAGGAACTTTTAGCCACAGCAACTTAACAATCAAACATCATCTAGAATTATCAAACTGACAATTTTCAACTTTTTGTATATTAACCTCCAAATCCCAAATCTAAGGGCATTTAAAATGCTGCAGGCCCACAGTTCATTATAAAAAAGGAAATTCAATTACACAATCAAACACGAGATTAGCAAACTATGTGACACTCACTGATTTTAGCATTTGATAACAATCAATGAGTTTTCCTTCTCCCCATAGCCATTCTGTTCTTCATTGCTGAAGCTGAACACCCGAATGAAGTATGCAGAATCTCAGAAACCTATTTCAACCATCAAACATAAAGATGTAAGAATAATAAGACATATTATATTATATACCAGACATCCAGTCTAAAGGGAATTGATGGTGAATATGGAAGATGAACATTTATATGCTGAAAATAGACATTCATATCCTACAAAGGCATTCAACCAAAGTTCCTCCAAATTAGATTCAGCACTTATACATGCATAATAGTACATAAAAGGATGGTTGTAGCTACAAATATCCAAACAGACAGAATGCTAAGCAAGCACCCTGACTGAATCTAGAGAGAAGAAAAGAAGGTAATAACTTACAAGAATTTAGGTCAGCAATGCTCCTTAGAACTCTTATCTCACGACCTTTATTGAGATGCTACAACAAATTAACTGAAAAAAGAAGAGGAGGATGTTCTTTTTGTTGCGTGTTTACCAAACTGAATAGAAGGAATACTAGCTCTTGTCAAATGTTATGAGTCCATCACAAGAAGTTAACTCGTGATTATGGATTGCAAATAACCGAATTGTTTGGGAGAAAAAGGAGGTTTTCTTCTATGAGATAACATTATGATCAGCTTAGCCTTATCAAGTTGTCCATTCTTCTTAAGGCCTTCAAGCAATGAATAGATCGTGTCTATATTTGGAAACCAATGTTTTCTCATGCAATCTTTACACATTGTATATGCCAAATCAAATTCTCCCCCCTTACAGAGATAGTGAATCATTGTCTGGTATATTTTAACATTAGGTTTGCATCCCTTGCCATGTAAAGCAGAATAAACCCTTTTAGCCATTTCAAGGTATCCCGCCAGGCAGAAACCTTTGATGATCAAATTATATGTCACCTCATCAGGCATTATCCCAAGATTCTGCATCAACCGCATTAGATCATTAGCTTGCCACACCCGTCTACTATTGACTAAAAACTGAATCCTAGCATTAAATGTTGCAATACTTGGTAAACAACCCTTGTACACCATAAGATTCCAAAGTCCATTGCCAATCTGCCATCGATTGTACTTATAGAATGTTGACATGAGTGTAGTGTATGTAACTACATCTGGCCGTATTCCCATCTTCTCCATCTCTACCATGACAAGATATGCTTTATCCAAAATGCCCATTTCACAGAAAGCTTTAATAACAATATTAACTGAAAATATATCCAATGATATGCCAAACTTCTCGGAGCCCTCTTGAAGAAATGAATCAATAGCTCCTAAATTACGGGTTTGTGCCAAAACACTAAGTACAGCATTGAAAGATTTGACAGTCCTCCCGCATCCATATAAATGCATGTTGTAGAAAGTATCAATAGCATGCTTCGCCATTCCTGCCTTTCCATACAACATTATAATCCTTATAATAAAGCCCTCACGCCTACCCTGTGGCAGAGTCTTTTGATGCTCAAGTAGATGCTCTATGTAATCAAACCGACCTGCCCCAGCTAACCGAGAAACTGTATCTTCAAAAGCAAAACGATTCTCAATAACTAGCTGATTATGAGCATTAGCCTTGAATATATTAAACAGCTTTTCTGGGTCTCGTTCAGCTTTGAGCTTAAGAAGAGCAGGTTCTTCCAATGGTTTCGAATTTTTAGCGTGATTCGATACAACTGCAGGGCTATAACTCGATCTAACATCAGCAACAGCGGCATGGCATAATCTGCGAATAAGTCGCAGAAAGAGCATGTTCCAGGTTTTTCCACAAACCTAAACATACCAATATACTGAAATCCAGATTCTATGCGCTAAAGTTTTCAAACTTTTGCTATCCATTCAAAACAATAATGGCAAACTCAAATACATGAACGTAAACAATGAAGAACTCCCAGACGATTAACCTCAAAAATAAGCAAACTCATGTTCTAAATAAAGCTTTCAGGAACTAGCTGGAGAAATCACTCAATATCCACGTATCAAATTTAAGGACCCAGAAACAGCAACACTCGGAAATTGAAGATTTTGTAAGAGAACTCTTAACAACAAATCAAGGCAGTGCCTGGTGCAAGTTAGCCTCAAATAAGAAGACTGAAACATGTCAAATGGTGAATTAGAATCGATCCCAATACACCAAATAGAATATATGAATAGGTTTACGTGGTTGGAGACCATATGAATTTAAAACGATGAACAAGTTGTATTCTTGCATTTGAGAATAACCGAAAGCGAGCGGAAGTTGGATTACCGAGAGCCAACGAACGGATCTGAGGAAGAGCTCATTTTATCTGGACGGTCTTTGAGCTCTGCCAGAGGGTTTTGGGGTTTTAGGTTTTCTATTACGGAGAGGCAAGAAAGTGCAGTTTCCATGAAGTGATGATACAGAGTTCGTGAATTTGGGCTCCTAAAATGGTTTGCTTAGAAGGCCAAGGACAGACCCAGTCCAGAACGCAACAAAAATTGTTATAAAGTGGCTGATATAATTATTCTCTCTCTCTCTCTCTCTCTATATATATATATATATAAATTATAAACATTATAACTGAACTTTACACTACGTTTATATAAATTCAAATGATATAATATTCTGTCAATGCACTTATTTTATTTTTATTAGAAACTTTTTTTAATTGTTGCATAAGTTCTATTTGTAAACATCATATTTAACAATTGTGTTAATTTTTCTTGTTCATATGTTTTATATGTAAGTATAAAAAAAAATAAAATTTTACAGTTCAAACTGCTTACCATTTTAAATTTAATGTAAATTAGATATTAATCTTAATTGGGCATAGGGATATATTTCAAAAATATTATGAACTTTGAGTAAATTACATTCCAGATTTACATAAAATTTATGTGGAATCACTTCTTCATTTCAAGAAGAATTTTTACTATTTTCTAATCAAACTAGTTATGAATTTACAAATAAATTCTAAAAAAATTTTGAATTTACTTCAGAGTAATATACCCTCAAAGAGGATATATGATATAAGTCTGGTTCATTCATTCATTCATCAGAAAGTTCTTCCCAAAGGGCATATTTAGCTTGACCATAACTTTATGACATTTCAATGGAAGTTTAGAAGCAGAGGTAATGGGCAAGAAGGTTAAGACAGATGATGGTTCCACTCCAAACAAAATTCTTCCGAGTCATACACATGTATTGTGGCTAATTAACCCTTTAAAATCAAAAACCAAGTACTCTATATCCGGTGTATAAATCACAGGAATTACCAAATCCAAGGAGAGGCTGCCACCAGCTTGTAAATTTTTAACCTATTTCCTCCAGTTTAACTAAACCTCGCATCTGTTTCAACTCTCAGTCCTTGGAAGTAATAACCAGTAACCCAAGTGCACCTATCAGAATATACTGCAACAAACAAAAAACTCCTGTTAGTTTTATCTGATAGATTTTGAGCTACAGTGATGTTATTTTCTTTTTGAATATCTAATTATAATTGATAACGAGACGAAAAAGATGAAAGAAAACAGGTCTGAGATGGCGATATAATGTGCTGTGATGCAACCCAATTCATATCAGTGCTTGTGGCAATCAAATGTTGAAACAGTTAGAAACTAGTATGGGTTAGAGACCATATTCGGTAGAAAACCAACCTTGATAATGGGCTTTTCCGTCATGATAATAGTCACCCAACCAACATAAGGTAAAAACCTGCACAAGAAATAAGAAAAATAAAGGAAATTTAAAAAAAAAAAACATTTCTGTACAACAACTTAGCAAGTCACTTCCTGTTAAACATGGTATGTGAGTGTTAGTACTCTTCTCATTTCAGTACATAAACAGAAAACTTCACATGTCCACATTAAATGGATGTAATAACACAAAGAAAGGCTAAGAACAGAGGTTTTACCCCACAGCTCGGCCCATTATATGCTGCCTCTGAAGCCAGAGCTGCCCTTGGGCATATAAAAGTCTGTCATCTCCATAGTTGTTGTCTCCTATAAAAGTAAAATAGATAAAAGGAAAGAATAACTAGTCAAAGATGCTCTCACCACAAGTCTTTAGTAAAACTAGCTCATATTCAAGAAATTGATACCTTTCGTGAGGACATCAACTTCTCTAGTATCTTGCCGTTCATGAACCTGAGATACAGTTAGTATCAAGATTAATCAGACCCCCACAACTATTCTCAACTAAATAAATTTCAAAACAAACAGCATAGGAGAATGAAAAATAATTTTACAAAAGATCTAATCATCCCAATAAAATTAATAAAACCCACAAAGTTGAAAACAAAGACAGTGTAACAGTGTAGTTTCATACACAGAAAGGAAGAACAAATCAGGATTGTGAGTTCAACAAACCATGTAGATGCAAATACAAAGTGATATAGTCCATATGATACGATTGTAAATCTCCATCTGTTTGTGCACGCCTTATTGTTGCCCATAAAGCTTGTTCCTTGGTATGTAGTATTAGGAAGGTTAGATTAGACTTATGCATAACTAATCAAAATTTCCGGTTAAGTTTCTGCCCTTTGACATAGGTCAACAGGTTTTTGGCTCAGTAAAAGAAAGATGGGTGTGTATTTATAAACATGAACTCTGAGGCAGACAATTCATACTGGCAATTATCCAACAGCCAATCTGAGAAATTCATTATTTTTTTTTCAAATCTGTGATATATATTTACTATATACAAAAATGTAGCATTTGGTTACATCTCCATTCCTCATACAGATGTTCACATAGTGCATGTACCCACATGGAAAGGACAGCTTCCATTCCTATACTTATTGTTCATAAATGATCCCAGGTAGTAATCAATTAATATCACCTGTGACATGACGTGTAAAGTAAGGGGATTTAAGAGATAATACCTTAATTACGCGGTGGACAATTGGAATTTCACGACCCTGAGACAAACATTTTTAGACAATAAAATTAGCACAAAGAGAAAGGAAGAAGCAAATCTCCTGATTTTAGGTGCAGGAAAAAGAAAAGCTAGTGCTTTCAAATGAAAACAATCAGAGATCAGCCAAGGTAACTAACATGCACAGTTTTAGGACAACTAGCCATTACAAGACCATGGTAGACAGTAAAACAATGTAATTAACAAATAGTTGCTGTATCTAGAATTCTAATCACTGAAAAGAACAACCATAAGCAAGTAATTTTTCTTTTGAAAATACTACCATAAGCAAGTAATAAAAATATCCATAAGCTACTGAAGTGGAAATGCAATACTCTGAAGCGTCTTTGATAAGTAAGATGATATAAATTGGTACGAGTAATACAACCACCTTACCGAATCATATAACAAACAAGAACTGAAAAAAATGAAAAAAAAAAACAAAAAAGGCACTTACGTCAACATTAAAAACAACGATCTCCCCAGCACGAATAGGATCTTTACTCATGTGCAAGAACAATATATCACCCTGCACATGATATAATGAGCATAATTTATCAAAATATGAAAAGATCAGAAACATAGGAATCAATGTGAGGTTTATTCCATGAAAATCTAATTAAGATAATCAAACATGAAAATTGTGGAAACCGCAAACAAGCTTTTGATGGATCTTACATATTAATATAAGGAAACCTATTTATCATTAGATCAAAAGCCAAACAGAGAAATCCTAAATTTGAAATTAAGTATGAAACTGAATTAAGATAATCAAACATGAAAAGTGTGCAAACAGCAGAATAGCTTTTGTTGGATCTTATATACATATTTTTTGAACAAGGATCTTATATATGATACGATGAACACTATTTGTCAATGCATTAAACAGTACAAACATGGGAATCCTAGAAGTGAGGTTAATCCTATGAAAATTGAGTAAAGATAATCAAACATGAAAAATGAGTAAGTTGGAGAATAGCGTCAGTTGTTGGATTTTACAACATACCCAGAATAAGAAATTGGGCAAACTGATTCTTTTTTGGATAATTGATTGTATACAGACAAAAGTAATAATTGTAATTAATCTTTGGCAACTATTAGCAGCAAGCCAGCATGCAAGTGACATCTTGTTAATTGCTATGCAGGAAAGCAGTTGGTTTCTAAATTTCCCTTATATAATCTCTTTATGCTTTTTCTGGACGGGTTCAAGTTCTTCTTTCCCTACTTACTCTTCATATCTCTACTTTATTTCTCTATTTCCTAAAATTCTTCAATCCCATAGTATGTTCCATCTGCAATTGATAATAGAGTAGAAGTTATTTTTTATTTCATTGTATACCTTCTCTAAATAAGTGTGCAAGTATTGGTGCACGTACTAAGTAGCAGTCACATATGTAGATATATTGTCACATAACATGCAAACCAATCGCTATGTGATATTAGATCATTAGCCTCAATACCAGAAGCAAGCTCCATGCTCAAAAGTGATAAAAAGAAGCTTCCGATGGAAGAGTGAAATTTCAAACAATATGGCAAAAACCCCATAAGTATTCAGAATAACAATTCGTAAAAAAATTGCTAAGTTTTTATTTTTCTCTAAAAGTATGGCGCTCGAGAAGCCTTACACATCTTAGTTATAGCACCTTAAACTGGGATTCAACCACAAATATCCACTTCCAAAAGAGCACATTGCACTATAAGAAATCTATTCGCTGTGAGGAGCAAATAATCAATCACAAAATCCAAAAGAGGTAAATTTATAGTGCCATTTCGCATGCAAATTGCTCTGTTTTATACCCAAAATTTACAAGACAAGAAGCACAATCCAACCACAATCTTTGATACCAAAATCCTAGAATTTTTACTCACTGATGAAACCATTGATAGCAATATCATAATTATTTACAAATGAAGATCAAGTTACCCTCTGAAACCCAGGTTCCCATGCTTCCAGAAAGAACAACAACAACAGGAGAATTCACTGCCAGTAATGCACATTAATGCTTCCAGATTATCAAGGCCGATGTAACAATCATCCTGAAACAGAAAGCATATTCTAGATTGAAAAGTGGCCTTCCCATAATTTGATATGAACAATGCTCTAAGTTGCAGCTAGTTAAGCAGAAAACGGAAAGTAAACCAATGGAAGAAAGGTCACTTAGCTTTACCCCTAACGAGTAATTGGAGGTAAATCAAAATAGAAAAGACAACTGGATCACTAACTAATGGGGATTAACTATATACTATATAAAGCTGGAGATTAGTTGTAATGATCTTTGAATACTTCATATCATATAATCAAGTGTCTTTCATGCATGAATATAATCAATTCAATCACTGGGATTAGACTCCAGTATGGATTTCTGACAGTATTTAGCATTGGATCAGAGCAATAATGATAGTTCTCTATATAAATTCTTAATTTTGTCAAATGCTGCCATTATCATGCGATAATGTGCATATGAACTAACAAGCAGCTTCTCCTAAACACTAAAACATAGAATGAGGAAAGCTCAAAACTCCCACCTCCTATAGTTGTATTTAGATTGATTAAATACTTTACTAAATCAAAAGGTTCGGAAATTAGTACAATCTCATCATATAAGGAACATTCAAATGCTTAAATTAAGAGAGAACTTACACCATGAAGATGATAACCTCGACACTACAAATTCCTAAACTTCAACATATATAGAAATCCGTATAGCATTCAGAGACTTGATAAGGAACTTAATCCAAAATCACTATATACGGCCACATGCTTTTGGTACAATGACTTACTATTATACTAACAGGTAAAGTGTTATTTGATTTAACAAGTCCAACTAAAAAAATTAACAAATGGCTCTTTAAATGAATTCAGAATCGTTCAATTCATTATCATTCCATGGATCCAAATGAAGGGAGAGGAAAGGATTAGTGTAATTTCATCCTCATGGCAGATTAGTGATTTTTTCTCACTGTGTTATTTTCATTTGGATAAAATTAATCCCAACTAATGTTTTGCTGTGATACATAAACAACCCATGTTCTGTTCCGTCCTGCCATTCCCCCTCTAAAACAACCTTTAAATTTTTAGATAAAATGAGGCTTTGCTAAATTGCTAATAATGCTGTGATAAGCAAATAATATGACTTGACCAGAACACAAAATTATTGAGTGAGATCTAACTGTGGCATGAAACCAATCTTTCGGAAGCAAATAAACCAATTAGAAGAAATAAGAAAAAAATATTGAAAATTTAATTATTATAAGTGCTTAAACATTCCACGAAGTTAACCTGCTTCTAAAATTAAACACTACATAAAAAAATATTTTTTAATTAAAAATTATAAGTGTCAAGCTCTCTCAACAAATGATATCAAAAAATAGAACACCAAGAAGCTACCCAATATTTAAACGTAGAATGGGCAATGGCAATTCAGACTAACTGATCTCCTTTACACGGTGGAGATATGCTCTTAATCAGAAAGGTTTTCGCTTTATTCTAGCCACCCCCGCCCAAGCCCAAGAAACAAAAAAGAATTCCCTTCCGCTTTGCAGAAACCATTTAAAGAAAAATTGGAAAACTTATATTTGACATGGTAAGGCATCTATTAATCCCGAATTCAAATTGAGCAGCAACCCCCCACAGCACCCAAATGGGGCAAAATACAAAACCTCCAGGTAAGATGAACCCTAAAACATAACGCGCATATAAAATCTTCATTATATTTTTCTGTACATTTGCGTGTATATATATATATATACACATATAGATTTGTATGAGAGAGAGAGAGAGAGAGCGAACCAAGACTGACGGCCTGGGTAAGGAGCTGGCGGATCTGAATGGATTTGATGGAGTCAATAGAATCCCCGATCCAACCCATTTTTGCTTTGCGTTCTCTGATTCCGCTCTCTCCTTCTCTCTGCGGCTTCTGGGGGTTTGCTCTCGTCTCGGCTCACTGTTTTGCACCTATTGCTTTTATAAAAAGACTTAAATACATAATTTGACCATTTTCAATATATATTTTTTTCCTTTTTATGATATTTTTGTCTTTAAATTAAATCAATATTTTTAAAAATTTGCTCAAATAAATCTTCCTCTTGTTTTTTTATATTTATTTAAAATAAATGTTGACGTGGTCATGTGATTCTCACATGACATGTAATATATTATATTTGTTTTATAAAATAATATTTGAATTATTAAGAAAAGTAAAAAAAATCTCATTTTCTTTTTCTTTCCCAAATACTAAAATAATAACATAAAAAATATATATAACTTAATTTTTATTTTTTATTTTCTCTATACTTAAAAGTTTAAAGTTCGTTTTATTCTTCAATCTTGAAACATCGGGTCAAAAATTGCTACCACCATCAATCAAAAATTAGATTCCTTCATTACAGAAACCTCATCCTCCCAAGTCTCTTTAATATATAAAACCTTCAATCGAATTGTTAGATTTTTCATTTGTTGATTGTATTTGTAATACCTGAAATTAATTTGTAAAATTCAAAATTTATGTTCAAAATTTAATTTTTAATTTTATAAATTATTATTTAATGTAAAATTTGAAAACAAATGGGTAGATGATGAAATTGAAAATAATTTTAAGAGAAAATGATGAAAATTAGGACTCTGTGGGTGTTTTTTAAAGAAAAATAAAAAACTGGAGTCAAAATACAATTTTAAAAAAATAAGCCACGTAGGACGCCCAGTTAGCAACCCCGACGAACCGGAGCACGCCACTTGGTAAGGCACGCTGACACAGTGCCACGCGGGAGGCCACGCTGATGATCCATATGCCCACAATCAGACGGTCTAAATTTGTTCACGCGCGCGTGTACGGTCCGGATTCGTTTCCTCTTCAGACGCGATCAGATGGTCGCGATTAAACGCACTGAACGATTCAGATCCACTTCCTATTTAAACACGATCATACGATCCAGATCAAATCGTGATGAACGGTTCAGATTCACTTCTTATTTAAATGTGATCGGACGGTCAAAATCAAACACGATAAACGATCCAGATTAAAAAAAGACGGATATAAATACTCATCTTCACACTAAACCCTAACCCTATCCACCAGACCCCCAGCCGGAGAAGAAGAGCCAATCTCCAATAAGGGAGCCGACCACCGCCCGCCGCTACATCGGAGCCACTTCCGACCGCCAAAAGAGGTAAAAAATTTCTCATTCACTTGAAATTTAATTTTGAACACCCCAATGGCCAAATCGGAGCAAAAGAACCGGCAGATGACCTGAAAACTGCACGTAAAGCCCGGTGGCGCCGCTGCGGGAAAAGCAAAAACTGCCTCCGATGAGACCCTTTCCGATTCTCATTCATATAATTTTCCACCATTGTAATCATCATTCCTTTTTCTACAGGTTATCGAAGCAAACACCCAACTCGCGAAGGTGAGACGGCAGAGCTGCCGCACCGGAAAACCTCACTGCCGGTATGCTTCGGTTTTTCGATTTTTTTTCGGCCAACGAGGTCCCTTAACATGTTTTCTCGCAGGGATGAGTACAAAACCGGCCAAAATCGGCCGAAACTGGCCAAAAATAGCCAACCCGAGGCAAACTGCTGCTGCAGGTGGCGGTGCCGTCACCAAAGCACGGCGGAGCCGCGGTGCCAAAATTTCAGAATTGGCCAAAAAGGATTTATAACACTGATTTTGGATTTTTTAGGTATTTTTAAGTACTTGAAGTGTGTTTTAATCTCCGAAAGAAAATTCAGGGAACCCGGGAACTGCTAGTAGGTGCAGCTGAAAGTTTAGCATTTCGGACATCAATTTGTGTAAGAATCCCTCACCTTATTTCATGTTATGGAATTAAAGTTTTATTATAAATAATATGGTATTTTACGTAATTTAGAAATATTGATAATTAAAGTTTATTAAAAAAGCCGGAACTGGTTATTTATTACTGTTTGCCATGTTTCACTAATTGATTGATTTATAGTTTCGACTGTATGATAATACATTGAAATTGGTATGATAATTCGATTGTGTTTTCTTGATACATGAATTGTTCGTTTTACGTGATTTATAGTTAATTGAAAAATTAGAAATTAAAGATAAATGAAAAATTGTTTGATTAAATGAATGGTAGCTTTACTGGGTATCTTGGGAGATGGTGGACGGATTGAGTAAATAGAGAACCCTACCGTGAACGTTGCCTCATACCGGACGGGGTATCGAAGATTAGTAATTTGGCACTCATACTGGAAGAGGTATGAGACAGCCCATTTCACCCTCATACTGGACGGGATATTGAATGATGATATTTCTTGGCGCTCATACCGGACGGGATATAAGAACGGCCTGTTAGTTAAAAATATTGAAAAAGAGTCCACGCATAATAGGGACATCCCTATGGACCCCCATGGATATCAGTTGGCTAATAAATGAGAAAGTGGTCGTTCTGACTGATTGAAAATAAAATTATGATTTTGTTTATATTATTGACTCTATAAGTCAGTTTTGAAAATATTGTTATGGTAAATATGAGGTAAATGATTTTATTTATGATAAATGAATTTTACTTAAATTAAGAGCTCCATTAGTTATTTTTATGATTTCTACTAACCTTCATTTCTGTGTCGGTGAGTAGCGTGATATTCTTACTGGGTTAATGTAACTCACTCTTTCATTAATTATTTCAAATCAAGAGGACCAAGATCCAGAGTTCAATCCACAAGAGAGTTGCAAGTAGGACATTCAATTTGTTTACTTTTCATTTATTTATGTGATTATTAGTTGTTCTTTTAGAAATGTCATTCTCATAACCCTATTAGGTTTTCCGAATTATTATGTAAGGAATATAAATCTTAATTTATTGTTTCACTTCTGTATTCAATACATAATTTATTTTTTTTCAAGTTCACGAGTCATTTCAGTTAGTATCAGAGTCGCGTTTCTCAAAACCATTCCTTACACAAAATCCTTAGGAAATATTAAAAATCATAAATTATCACTCAACTGTTCCTTGTGAAATATAGGTACAGATAGATGAGGAGATGAAGACCCCCACTAAACTGAGCAGCTTGGGAGGGTTCACTTCGAGAGAATGTTGACCGGCTATTTGAAATGCTTGAGAGATTCATCGCTGCCCAGTAGGCCCAGGAAGAAAGGAGGGAGATACCTAACCCTCTCCCGCTGCCACAAGTTGAGCCACTCCTGCAGCAAGAGGATTCTGAGCCATCCCGGTACGACCCTGCTCCTCTACAGTACCATCCAGCACCACCACTGTATGATCCAATATCCCAACCATAGTACTACCCTGCATCACCACAGTATAGCCTGGTGCCCCAACCGCATCACCCAAAACCACCACAGTACAATCTGGTGCCTCCACTATATCATCAAGTACTACCGCAGGGCCATCCAGTCCATCCTCATCACAATTCAGTCCCTCTTCCATAGGACTTAGTTCCTCCCATGATGGACCCAGACTATATTGATAGGTATAAAAGACTAAACTCATCTACTTTTACAGAGGCATCATCATTTGAAGAGGCCGAATGCTGGTTGGCTGAGATAGAGAAGACCTTCACGACTCTTGGGGTGATTCCCGAACAGAGAGTCATACTTGCCACCTACATGCTAGTGGGAGAGATAGGCCACCCTGCCCGTTCCAGTCACTTGGGAACAATTCTTGACGGCCTTTAATGCAGAGTATCTTCCAAAGCATCTCCGATATCTGAAGGAAATGGAGTTTGCACACTTTGTCCAGGGTGACATGACTGTATCAGAATATACTCGAAAGTTCATAGAGCTGGGCCGGTATTCCCCTAAGAGCATGATGGATGAAAGTGAAAGGCAAAAAAGTTTGAGTGGGGTCTACGTCCTGAGATCATACAGTAGCTGTATGTGTTTGAGCTCAGTACTTACTCGGCTGTTCTGGTCAAAGCATAGCTAGTGGAGAGAAACCTTCACATTTTTCCTCAAGCAGTAGGGAACCTCAGGCCATCGGCTTCACACCGCAGACTAGCGTCTACTGCACTTATTCAATGGAACAAGAGACCTTGGCCGATGACTCAGACTCCCCCTCAGATTCCAACAACAAGATGCGGTAGGATTTGCCAGTACTGTGACATGAATCATGGGGACCAACCTTGCTATCGTCTCAACAATACTTATCTTATATGTGGGAGTGTCCAACATTATGTGAGAGAGTGCATGAGGAACCAGAACTAAGCCAGACCTCCTATCCAAAGCAAGGTTTACAACCTCACTCAACAAGATGCAGAAGCCAACTTAGACGTGGTACAAGGCACGTACACTATCTGTAATCGTCTTGCACATGTTGTGATTGATACTGGCGCCTCACATTCATTTGTTTTACATATTTTTGCATCAAAATTGAATATATTACCTGAAAGACTTGATTCTGTGTTGCTTGTGTCTACTCTTGAGAGTAGGACACTACTGGGGGGATGTTATATATAGAATCTGTGTCATAGATATAATAGATAGAAAATTGAATGTGGACCTAATAAAAATTGGTACGAGAGACTTTGATGTAATTCTAAGAATGAACTGGCTAGCGTCGTATCACGTCACCGTAGATTATTTTCATAAAAAGCTTGTAATTCAACCCTCATAATGAGGAGTCATTTACAAATTAATAAAATTCTTTAACATTTGTTCCCTCATGGTAAATTTTTCTATTGTTAAATGCTTTAACCCGATTGTTTTTTCTAATTAGGCAAACCAAATAAAAAAATTTGCATTCAAGAGATTCCGGTAGTCTGAAACTTCTTAGATGTGTTCCTGGATAAACTACAAGGACTATCAGTGGACAGAGAAGTTGAATTCACGATAAACCTTCAGCCAGACACCCAATCTATTTCGGTTGCCCATTACTGCATGAGCCGTGTTGAGATGGAGGAGCTGAGAAAACAAATCAATAAATTGCAAGATAGTGGATTCATCCGACACGGTGTGTCCCCTTGGGATGCTGGAGTCACA